CTCACTCTCAGCATGGCTAGTACTGACCCCATCTTTTATTTTTTCATTCTTACATATATTGGATAAATACAAGGCTTATTTTTCTACCTCCAAGATACAGTCTGAAACTTTCATATTACACATGGATGAATGAAGGGACCAAACTACATAGACTTGTATATGGTCTTTGTTCAATGAATTCTACTTCTCTTTAAAAAAAAAAAATCATTAAAAACCCCGTCAAGATTTCTGTGTCTTAGCTGGGTGCTGCTGGCTCACGCCTATAATCCTAATTACTCAGAAGGCTGAGATCTGAGGATCACAGTTCAAAGCCAGCCTGGGAAGGAAAGTCCATGAGACTCTTATCTCCAATTAATCACCAGAAAACCAGAAGTGGTGCTATGGCTCAAGTGGTAGAGTGCTCTCCTTGAGCTGAAGAGCTCAGGTACTGTGCCTAAGCCCAGAGTTCAAGCCCATGACCACCAACAACAAAGATTTCTGTGTCTTAATATTAGGTATAGTTTTTTTTTCTCCCATTGCAGGTGCCCCCTCAAATAAGATTGTTCCTTCAATTCATATTGGAGCCCTACAGCATACCTGCACAATTTATCAGAATGACTCTGAGCTATTTACTTTCTGTGTATTGCCCCTCAATCTCCAACAAAGAGTTCTAGTCCTTCTGCAATAAAATGGAAGATAAAAAATATGCCTACTTCTCTCAAAATGTGTGGATAATTGTGAGAATCTTCAGGGATTGGCAATTCACCAGCACTCCTACTGCTAAGCATGATATTGGGGGAGCTACAGAGGGAGAGTTGGAAACTATGGGGGAATTTCAGCCTTCTTCTTGTGGTTGCCTCTTTTTGACGTTTATGCCAGCAGGCTAGACATTTTGCCTTGTTTGGATGATGCTGGCCAAGTTTTTGCTGCTTTTTTAATTTAAAAAAATTATGGGTCATGTTTTTGTTTATATTACTAGTTAGTTATTGCCAAGGAAAGGCCTTGATCCAAGCTTTTTCTTATATCAAAGATTTCCTTGAATAAAGGAATTCTTTACTTCTAACAATTGCGATGTACTTTCACTTCTGACTACCCATCACCCCAGCATTTCAGTATTATCATCCCTCCAGCTCTAATCAAACCCTTCTCAAGTCTAACAATGGCTTCCTTCTTCCTGATAATCTCATTTCTTCTCAGTTTTTACCCAGCCAATCCTGTCCTTTCTTTGCCATTTTGATGATTTGTTTTGCCTATTTCTTCTTTCCCACACCATAATAATTACTTATACAATATCTGATACAAATTGCTAGTCCTGTATAATTACCAATCCAGTGACAGTTTATCCAGTAGAATCTATATGCACCTGCTTTTTATTGAATACTTTCACCATGACTGAAAAATAATGACCAAATTAGCCATGTGCCCAAATCAGTGTTAGTTTTTTAAAAAATTATAATGCTTAATTTAGCATTATTGGGTGATGACCAAAAAAAGATTGATTTGATTAGCATATAGATTATTAGGAGAGTAGAGACTAAAAAGAAAATAAATCTTAAGAAACATATTTTCTGACTGTGATGTGGCCTTGGAACCATTTCAATCTATACCCTTCTCAGAATACTATTTTTGTTTTGCTTTTGGCTTTTATTTGTTGTTTTGTTTTGGGCATATTGAAGAGGTTACAAATTGTGACCCTTATTTGTTGCTAGCTAACTTGGTTCATAAAGACTGAGCCATGGGGGAAATCTCCTTGTCCAGGTAAGATTTGTAAATTACTTTCCCAAAACTGTGAGTTCTCTGAAAGAAAGTGTGAAGACAGATGAAAGAAGTGGAAAGAGGATGTGAGGGAAGGAATAATTCTAAGACACATTTCTTTTTGTTTCATTGTATTGGGTGAGTACAGAAGGACTTTTTCATAAGCCCACTCCAGGGGTAGATGCTAATTTAAGAAAATGAGTCAGGAAAATGAATGTTTCATAGTTACAGATTAGTTCTTTAAAAGGAGTAAGCAGGGACAATTGGGTCAGTTCCACTGATGGGTGGTACAAAGACTGCTTGCTTGGACCAGAAACAAGTATCTCCTTGAACTGGATGGATTATAGTGTAGAAGCATAGCGAGTCCTGTAGAAAGAACATTCCTATAGCCTGTGGGAACAACTTAGAGATGTTCAGATGCTAGGATTCTGTGATTTCCACGTTGATTGGCATGTTCAGCTAACTGCTGTGTTACCTGCTGGTCTCAGCTCTGAAGCAAGAGGAGACAGATGCATCAGAATGGTGACCTGCTGGAAAGCAAGGTTTGATTTTATTTTATACTTTTGTACCAGTACTAAGGCTTGAACTCAGGGCCTGGGTCCTTAGCTTTTTCACTCAAGGCTGGCATTCTACCACGTGAACCACATCTCTAGTTCTGGCTTTTTATTGGTTAAGTACAGATAAGAGTCTCATGGACTTTTTCTGTTTTTGCTTGGCTTTGAACCTGGATTCTGAGAGCTTAGCCTCCTAACTAGCTAGGATTACAGGCGTGAGCTACTGGAACCTGGTTAGAAGGGCTTTATTTACGAAATATGCTTCTTAGGAAATAAAGCAGGGCTTCATGGGGACCTCCTGCACTTACCCTATATTCACAGGAAATTCAGGATGGGGTGGGGGAATTCAGGATGTGGGGGGATGCTTTACAATCCTGGTTTGTTTTGTTTTGTTTTGTTAAAGGACACAATTGTAATTGCAAAAGGCAAAAGGGCAGAATTAAGGTTAATTATGAATTTCCTGTTTTTCATGCAATTAAATTCTCCCCCTTACCATTAAGTTGATGTAATTTTCCCACATAATTTTGCATAAATTACTAAGCAAATATGAGATCATTTGGTGGGTAGGGCTATAAGGAGATAATGAAGTGAAATTAGTAAGACATTCTTACTAATGTCTTACTAATAATTAGTAAATCTAAATGGTACTTGGATTTTAAGAATCCAAAATATGCCAATGAGCTAATGAAAAAATAATATATCCTATTTACAGAGAACTCTATTACTATATTAGATTGTGATAAATAAATTCAACATTTTGCAAAATAATTCTTTAAAAATTATAGGCACGTTCTATACCACTGTACCACACCTCTGGCCACCTCTGGGTCTTGAACTCAAGGTCTGGGCACTGTCTCTGAGCTGTCTTGCTCAAGGCTAGTGCTCTACCACTTTAAGCACAGTGCTACTCTGGTTTTCTGGTTATTATTTGGAGATAAGAATCTCTAGGACTTTCCTGCCCAGGCTGACATCAAACCTCAATCCTCAGATCTCAGCCTTCTAAGGAGCTAGGATTACAGGCATGAGCCACTAATGCCTGGCTTCAGCCAAATAATTTTTTTAATAATAAAATGATTTAATTTTAAAAGATAATGACCTCATTAGGCACCTCATTAGTTAGGATGAGATCTTAGGAAGATAGTTTGAACCTAGCCTGAGGAGGAAAATTTGTGAGACTCTTATCTCCAATTAATTACTACCACCTCCACCAAAAAGCCAGAAGTGGTAGAGTATTAGCCTTGAATAGAAAAGCTCAGAGAGAGTACCCAGACCCTAAATTCAAACCCCATGACCAGCACACTCATACACACACACACACACACACACACACACACACAAACACACACACATACACACACACACACACACACACACCCCACATCTTTCAGAAATATTTATTAAAGCATTTGTTGATGAAAATATGATACTGAGCATTTACTTCTAAATAATATTAGAGACAGGGAAGTGAATGGCATAGGATTGGCTGTGAGTTGGTGAGTATGTAAAAGTTAATTATCCTAGTTTGTCTATTTTTCTTTTTTGTTTGAAATTTTCCTTAATGAAAGAAACAGAATGTGTGTGTAAAATCCTGCTTTTAGATTAAAATTTCCTTTCCTTTCCCTTCCTTTCCTTCTCTCTTTCTTTCCTTCTTTCTTTCTCTTCCTTCCTTCCTTCTTTCTTTCCCTTCCTTCCTTCCTTCCTTCCTTCCTTCTTTCTTTCCTTCCTTCCTTCCTTCCTTCCTTCCTTCCTAACTTCCTTCCTTCCTTCCTTCCTTCCTTGCTCTCTCTCTTTCTCCCTCCCTCCCCCTCTCTCTCTCTTTCTCCCTCCCTCCTCCCCTCTTTCCCCCTCCCTCCCCCTCTCTTTCCTTCTTCTTTTTGTGCTGGGGCTTGATGTCAGGGCCTGGGTGCTGTCCAGTAGCTTTTTCACTCAAGGTTAGTGTCCTACCACTTGAACCACAACTAATTCCAGTTTTTGTGGTTAATTGGAGATAAGAGTCTCACAGACTTTACTGCTTGGTCTATGACTATCATAGTCCTTAGATCTCACCCTCTTGAGTATCTAGGATTACAGGCATAAGCTACTCACTCCTGGTATGGTTAAAAAAATTCTATGGTGCAACATCCCAAATATCAGCAGTTGAGAATTTTCATAGCAGTATAAGAGGCTGCAGGTATAATGGAACCCTTGAACCTTGGATTTGAGGATGTCTTTGTTCCTTGACTGGCATATTCATCATCTTGATTTTATATTTATTTTTCTACAGAGTAGTGCAGTCACATTGTAAGTTTGTTATTAGCCTCTTGGAGTTTGATTGTTCGGTTGACAATCTAGGTTAAACTTATGAATTTAGACAAATTCTTACATGAGTAAGAAGGGGATAATACTCTGTTTAATGGCCAGCCTTTGGAAAATAGCCAAACACAAAATGAAATAAATTATTGGGTTAGGTCACAATAACGAACTTTACATTTTTAAATTTATTTAAAATTATTAAATGTATTTGTGGTTTTTAACAAACAAAACTCTTTAAGTCATTAGACTAAAGCCTTGGAAAATTAATAAATTAAATCTACAGCCTACTGAATTGGTCTAGGTCAAGCTCCCTTAGCAGGTAAGCTATTAGCAGCTGGGAATTCTGGGTGTATGTTATGGTTTCAGGCAGTTATTTATTGATGAACATCTTTAATGATTGCTTTATCCCCCTTCTTCTAGACTTTCCTTGAAATGTTGTTGGAGAACATTCCAGAAGAAAAAAGGTGAGGACTAATTTAGGAATCAAGAGCCTAATTTTACCTTTAAAAAAATGACCTTACCATTGTTTTGCTTGTGACAACCTAGAAAATTCTTTTTTTTTTTTTTTTTGGTAGAGTCAAAGACTAATGTAACCATGGGAGTCACAAGTTAATCAACCAGACTTTGGGATAGGACCAAGCAGCTGTGGAATTTAGTGTGCACAACCAAGCTTCCCCAGAGTCAGGAGCCCTGATTGTGGGGCAGGAGGCAAGCAAAGAACAATCTGTGTCCTCAGCTGCTGAAGAGGGCTGGGAGTATAGTTCAGTGGGAGCTATCATGCACAAAGCCCCAGGTGTAATCCCCACCATTGCAAAATTAGAATTGAATTAAAATGAACAGAAGAATGGAGAAGAAAATAGAGATGAAAACTTGTCCAGGTATTATGTCTTTATGCAAAGGAAATACTGTGTAACTGAAGGCAAATATGTACTATTATACTACAAATATCAGATGTGAGCTCAGGCTCTCTCATGGGTTCTGAACCCAGCTGTTCTAGTTCCTATGAAATGTTGCAGCAGTGCAACTTATTCCTTCTGAATTTTAGTTTTCTAACCTCATTGGCAGGGACTTAGAGAAGATTGAAGATTTACATCTGTTCTCAAAGTAGGTGCTTTGATTGACCTCTTTATTACAACAAACGTCTTCTATGCATAGCTACTGTATACACGGTTTACATACAGTAATCATTTAGTCCTAATGCAATATTCTTCATTGTAGTCACCTTTAGGGGTTATTGTAAGATATTGTATATCGTATTTTGTTTTTGTTTGTGCTGGTACTAGGGCTTGAACTCAGGGCATTTAACTATCAATTGGCTTTTTTTTTTCTCAAGGTTAGTGTTCTACCCCTTGAGCCACAGGTCTACTTCAAGCATTTTTGATGGTTAATCAGAGATAACAGTTTATGAACTTTCTGCTGAAGCTGGCTGAGAGCCATGATTCTCAAATCTCAGATTCCTGAATAGCTAGGATTATAAGCATGCCTAGCTGGTACATTATTTTTACTCCCGGCTTTACCAAAATAAGGATTATTGAGGATCCAAGAGGAACAGTAAGTGGCTCAAATTTCACAATTCTATGTGGCAGTTAAGCTGTAGTCTATCCTCTTATCCACTATGCCACAAGTAGTGAAACTGAGGCTTCTAGAAGTGAGGCAGATTTTCCAAGATTGCTTATCATGAGAAAGAACATAGGCTCTAGCTAATGCTCTTTTCAGCACACTACTTAGTATGAGCTCACTGTTGGAAGAGGAAGATTCTTATACTTGGAAGTTGTAGACTTCCTGGCTATCTACCAGGCTTGTAGAGCAGCTTTAAGACTTCTGTTCTGGGCAATTAGAGTCACCTAACTTTCTTCTTCTAATATCCTCCCTGATTTGAGCCTTAAAAATAAATACCCTAAAATACAATGTTTGATAGAAAAATTGATATTCAGATATTAAATAAGCAATTAAATATTACTCTCCATTCTGACTCATAGTTTTAGCTATGGTTTTGTGCATATAACAATGAATTCTATTGTCACTAACATAGTCCTAGATTTAGTTGAGTACTCACCTACATGTTAAAAAGTGTATGTTATAAGCAGTCTCAATTGGTTACCTAAGGGTAAGGTATTAGACCACCAAACTAGGTACAGGAGATAACAGGCAAATTCAGGAGAAGCGAAGGATCATATTCAAATGGAGAGGTGCTGTGTTTTGTTGTTTTCAATTTTCCCTAAGAATTGGATTTTTACCTTACCTATTTTGTTTAAACTTCCATATCTTCCACCTTGCATTCAGAAGTCTCAAAATTGTGTCATCAGTGGGTAGAAGTGGTATCTTTAGACTTCTGATTTTGTTCTGTTTTCCTTTTGCAATCAGTGCTGGAGTTTAACAAAGAGGCTCAGTCATGTTAAGTATATACTCTATCTCTGAATTACTCCCCAAGCCATACCTACTTCTTAAAAAAAAATAAAGTAGAAACATATACACATAAAACAAATCAATGCATCATACAGAATTAACATACTTGATGAATTCTTTTCTTCCTGCCTCTCCATGTTCTGCCTTCTGATTCTGAAAGAAGTCTTATCCGTAGAGATTGCATGAGACTTTAGTCAGTGCAACATAATTAGCTTTTCAGAGGCTGTCCAAAGGAACTGTACTTTGTTTTGGAAATTTTTAAATATTTTAGATTTACCGTCCTTTTTTTTAAAGTGGACATAATGGGTTTTCTTCATACAAAAAGAATGTGTGTGTGTGTGTGTGTGTGTGTGTGTGTGTGTGTGTGTGTGCGCGCGTGCGCGCGCGCGCACGCGCGCGCGTTCCTTTTTTCTTTTGCCCCTGCCCCAGAATAAATTCAGGTCTTCTGATAGATTTGAGTAGTGCAGAGAAAGACAAAAGGAGAAGAGAGGAGGAGAGGGGAAAGGAAGGAGAGAAGGCCAAGTACTAGTAGCTCAGGCCTATAATCCTAGCTACTCAAGAGGCTGAGATCTGAGGACTGCAGTTCAAAACAAGCCTGTGGAGGAAAGTCTGTGAGACTCTTATCTCCACTAAAGTACCAAAAGCTGGGGAAAAAACTGGCTCAAGTGATAGAACTCTGTCTTGAGTGAAAAAGTTAAAGGACAACACCCACCCAGGTCCCTTAGGATCAAGTCATACTGGCACACAAACAAAAAAAAAGGGGGAAGGAAGGAAAACCCCTAAGTGTAGTGTATTACCTCCTTACATATTACCAAAGTGTATTCTGAGTGATAATTGAATTCTTTCAAAGTCTATCTTAGGGCATAAATACAGCAATTTTTGCTGAAACAACAAAGTGTTTTAGTTTGGGAGGTCTCTCTTTTAATCTTCTTCATAATACGGTTATAGAGTTCATTTGGATGGCCCCTGAACCCTCTGGCTCTAGAGGACTTGGATTTTATCGTTGTGGACATTTATTGAGGCAACACACTGGGACCACAAAGAGACTTTTGTTGTAATTGTGTAAGTTAAAAGCAATGTCCCTGCCTTAATAGTGGCCACCAACCACATGCCCTTTGATAAAGTACTTCTCCCAGTTAGGATCATGTTTTGCCTAGCAGGTTTAAACCTGTTTTATTTTTAAAATTCTCCTTAAAAATTAAGGCAATTTCATTCTTACTTAGGATGAATCTACTCTAGCAAGCATACCAGGATATATTTTAAAACTTAAAAATATCTTTTGCCTGGTAACAAATCTCAGAATCTAGTTCAGCTATTAAAACAGACTATTTACTCTATTACCTATGCAACATATTGTACCAATTTTATCTAGGTCTCAGAAGGCCCCACACCTACCCCCTCGAGCCTCTAATCTTTGGCCCCAATTGTAAAGTGATCCTTGGGCACATCTGTTAGGCACGTGAGCCATTCTGAATCGGGCATGGCTTTTCAGATCCAACCAGTCAGCTAATGTTTCTGTGTCATACCGCCTCTGCATTTTCTTGCTTCAAATTTTCTTACTTGCTGTTTTGAGCAAGCCAGCAGGCCCTAGGTTGGACACTGGGGAATAAAGAAGAATAAATCCCATGCCTAGCCCTCAAGAAGTTTCTAGTTGACTACTGAAGACAGAGATGAAACCAGTTGTTAGAATCTGTATAAAAACTACTTGTAAGGCTGTGATCCAGGGTTTGTGATCCAGAGCAATCTCGTTATCTCCAGCCTTGAACCTAAAACAGCACTCAAAGACAAAGAAGTCTCACCGCAGATTTTCAGTAACAAAATGATATCAGCAATTCAGAAAGATTCTTTTGGGGGTCAGTGTAGAAGGTAGATGTGGGAATCATGGGCTAGAAACCAAGAGACCAATTAGAAACCACTACAGCAGTTCAGTCAAGAGATCCTAAGAGCTGTAATTATATCAGAGATGATGACTGTGGTAGTGGGGTTGAACATAATGAACAGATCTGAAGGATATTTGAGAAGCTGATCAGTTGTGAAAGTTGAATAGAGGAGTCACACAAGAGGCTGACCTTTCTCTTGGCTCTTAAGTTATACTCAGAAGTGGCTTTGGAAATACTATGGGGCAGTTATTTGTCCCTTGAATCAGTATGGAGGGAAGGGATGGAAGGACAACAGATTACTAGGTAGAAGTGCAGAGATGACACAGAAAACAATACCAAAAATCTGCTCAGAAAAAAATCCAAGTGAATCCTGGAAGCTAGGCTCCCTTGACCAAAGAGCACCCTGAAGAGGAACTGATCCATTGTATCTTACTTGTATCTTACTTACCTGGTGTTCTGACACCATTCGTAGCCACTGGTTCTTTTTTTGTCCATCAGTTACTGTGTCTGTGTGTACATTGTGTTTGCTTTAGTCCAGTACTTCCCACTATACTCATGGTGCTGGGGAATACTTGTTTTGTAATCAGCAATCTTCATTATCTACCCAAGCACAATTACTTTGCTTTGACAGGAAAACAAGTAAATGTGTGCAAAGATTTGTAACACATACTATTTGCATCCACATGTAGAGAGGGAGTTGAAAAACATTAAAGTGCTAAAATTTAAAAATCCATATAGTTCTGTGAGTCACATTCTAGAACAAGGGCATTTTTCATTTCAAACCCTGAGCTCTGAGGTTTCCTAGTACCTTTCCTCCAACTCACCTGTACTTTCCAAGTTCTTGTGGTTTGCCATTTAGTTTATGTGAAAATTGCTGAGCTATGTGCTTTCCTATGGCAACATGGACAGAGTGTGATCTTTGGGATCTCAAGAGGCTGAAGACAGGAGCCCAGTTTGATTAAAGACATTTCTCTTAATGAGGAACAAGCTGATAGGCACAAGTAGTAGATCTAGCTAGTAGTTCTTCATCCATGTCACCTTAACATCAGAAATCAACTGAGCAGGCACACAGGCCTAGGTGTGATGCCATTTTCATGAAAGCCTGTGTTTATTTCTGTTTGTTTTCACATCACGAAGAGAACAAACCATCACTTTCTTAGCTCTAAACACAGCTTATT